TGGACTTAAAAGGGAGGGCAGAGCCCGGCACCCTCTGAAGCAACAAACTCCAGATGCCTGGCAGATCACAGACCTAATTCTGATCCCTCCCCCAAATTACTGTACCACCTGGAAAAATGCACTTCATTTTCACCACTTCTCATCCAGCTGGATTAGACTTAAAGGCCCAACTGCATGCGGAAAAAATGATCTCATTTTATGCATTACCCCCTGAAGCAGTGTTTTCCCGTGCTCAGTGCTCGATGAGAAGCACATGGATTTGAGTCAGCTCGCTTCTCTTGAGGAACAGAGGATTTCAAGTCCTTCCCGCTCAAGGTTAAAAACGAGCCCTAAGAGACTGTGGTGAATACAGAATAAGTTCCACATTGTGCATTTGCCAGGCCAACTGGTGCAGGGCAGCCATCCCACATCCTGGATTTGGCAGGCTGACACTTGCAGATTTTCTATTTTAAACGCTCTTGTAATTTTTGGAATATATCTGATTAACAAGCGAAGGTTTTCTTTGGGATGGAAGGGGTTTCTTGTGTCATTTACCACGAACATCTAAAATGTACTTGAAGGTAAGATGAAGTACAAGTCACATTCAGATTTGTCATGTTTCTGAACAGAGAAGAAATTGAGTTAAACTCTCATCATTCTATCAATTAAAAAATAATGGAATAAAGTGTTAGCTGCTAGTACAAATGATCAAACAAAAGCCAGCGTTTAAGCATGCAAACAGACAATAAATGTGCACGCAAAGCAATTGCTGGGTCATGTATCTACTGATACACAAGCAGCAAGCCAGAGAGGCCAATTTTTGCTCTGACGAGTATGGAAACAGCAGATAAACACAGCGCATCCGTGTTTGCCAAGAGGAGAACAACTTGCTGTCCTGAAAGCTTAAGATGACTTAAAGAAGGCTCAGAGCACAAACAGTTGAGGGGTAGGACTCTGAGCACCCCTCTGAGCGAAAAGGGATGTCCCACAGAGCCCAGCTGTGCCAGGGACACCAGTGGGACCAGCTGACAGTTCCATCTACTGGCTGTTCATTGTTTCTGATTGAAACGCTTTCATAAAGCTGCAGTTTTAGCAAGATACACTGACTTCAAATTTCCATTTCAAACAACAATTACATTTCTGAAGGAAATATTCTTTCAGCATTTTTCAAATTAGCCTTTCCAGTTTTAATTCCCTTCTCTTTGGAACATTCTGTGAAAAAGGGGTGGGTTTACCTTCTTTTTAATTGATAAAAGAGGCTTCATTTAAAAAAACCCAAAAAGCCAACGCAGAACACCCAGGTCCGAGCCTGGCCTGGCCTGTCCCCGCAGCAGGCTGCACACCACGCGGTGCCACCGCCTTGTCACAACCTTGGTAGCCACGGTGCTGGAAGCAAGTCAGGAGAAGACGGCGGCGTGCACACGGCAGGCCACATGGCTCGGCGTTACACGTTAGGCGTGAGCAACGGCAAGAAAGTGCCGACCTAGCCAAGCTCCTGCAGAGACCACATCTCGTCTGATCATCGATACTGAACAACGGTCTCAGGAATTCCTACGCACAAACCAAATCCGCACATCTCCGACAGGCACAAACACTGTACGACTAGAGCAGAGTGACTAGGACTTAAAACAGCACCCAGAAAGAGGTGCACCCAGATAGGCTGCTGATTAAGAACCAGCCCACTTCCCATCAACCCAGCTGTGCTGGATGCTTCAGCAGCGTTGGGATTTGCTGTATTTCTGAGAGAAACCGGACAGAAGTGTGCTCACTGTTGACTTGGGTTACAATATGTAACCAAAAATATGTAATTCTATTTTCATCTGTTGAAACCGGTTGGAAGATATTTCCATTTCTTGTAAAACCAGGGGCGGGTGCTTTCTGTTAATGGGTTAATCATGGGGTAATGATGGGGCAGTC